GGAATAAGTGACATATTTCAGGGCCTCAGTTTTCTTATTTAGGTAATAGAAAAGATGTTTACTTTGAGTATTTCGTATATTGATTCTAAAACTCAAGTGAAGTAAATAACGGAAATGTTTGGTACATCATACCTTTAGAGATATTATTGTTCTTTTAATTTTTTCTGATTCAATATATGAATATATATTTTCTTAATATTTTTACTGTTTACTCATATTAAAAGCTATAGAGCCTTAGGGCTGCTTCTAAATTCTAAGTGAATAGTTAGTACATTTCAATGCTCTTGGAGAGTTTATGCATGTTTAATTTGCTTTCTGTGAAATACAAGAGACCAACAGAAGAGGGGACAAAAATACCATCATGACTGTTGACTTTGTAGTATATTAACCTTTATACTTAGTTTGGGAGTTCTGTTACTTGGATTTTAGTCACCAGTGAAGGACTTCAGCCACTAAAACACGGAGTTCATTCGTTACTCTTGCAGAGCCACACACAAAAAGCCCTTCTGTTGGAGCATATCTTTTATTGTGAGAAATCTGATTACTATTCTCACATGCAAGCTTTCCTCCAAAGTTGTGTAGGTGCCTTTTCTTTGTTTGATTTCCGACTCTATGCAAAACAATTTTTATGTAATAATATAAAGCAAAGCTGTATGAAGTTTATTATAGCCTGTTGTTAGCTTATGATACAGCATAAGATTACATAATAATAATTTAAATTTTGTTCTGTTTTGCTTTTATTGACTTAAACTATGTTCATGATGGGCTGCATATGAACTCTCCATTGCAATGATATATTTCTTGATATATACAGTGTGATTTTAAAATTGTTGGAACAGAAAGGAGCTTTGTTCTAGAGGAGATTTAAAAGTGGCTTCTGGTTTGCCAACTAAATAAAAAGGAAATGAAGTGTGGCATGCTGGTACATCTCTATAATCTCAGCACTCTGGGGAGGCTGAGGTAGGAGGATTGCAATTTCAAACCCAGCCTTGGCGATTTAGCAACTTAATGAGACCCTGTCTCAAAGTATATTTTAGAAAAAGCGATGAGGATGTAGCTCAGTGCAAAACCCTGAGTTCAATCCCCAGTTACACACACAGTAAAACATACACACACACCACAGAATGTATCTATATACAGGATAGTTGACATAGTTGATCTACTGTCTTCTATTTTCTTTGCTGAGAGAAACAGTTAATGAGCCCTCGATTGATCAATATTACCTGTCTCTATTTGTTTTCATGAGAAACCACTTTGAAGATATCAATATGTAATACAACAAGCGTTGTTAATATCCTACCACATTGTTAGTAACTCTGTATTGTTTGTATTGTTCTTTTGCTATTTTGTTTTTGTTTTGTTTTGTTTTGGTTTTGGTTTTGCTCCAGTACCAGGAACCGAACTCACGACCTTGCGCTTGCCAGGCAGGCGCTTTTGCCACTGAGCTAAATCCCCAGCCCTCTTTTGCTATTTTGTAAATGGTTGTCTGTCTGTTAATGTTTTCCTCCTTTTATTTTTTTTTTTAAAAAAAGAACTGAAGGTGGAAAAAGTCACTTTTCTGCCTTTCTAATGCTGAGATCACTTATACATACAGCTCCATAAAACCCCATACCTCATACTGCCCCCTCAAAAAGAGCTGGTGACAGGGATGATTCTTCTTTGAAGCTGGTGGGATTGGGGAAAAGGTTTACTAAATTGGCTTATTTTTTCCATTTTCATGAGGATACTTTATTGTATTTAATATTGTATAGATCATTTTAAAAGACTATATTCCTCAAAATAACTGTACAAAATATTAATGATAGTCTTTTATTTTACTTCAATTACTTCATGCTTTTCTGAAATGGAAACAAGTGTTTTATATACTAAGAATTTTCTCCAGTCACACTTCTCCCAAAGTGGCCCTTTGTTCTAGACACTTTTTTTTTCATTACCGCATCCATATCATCTTGTGAATTTAAGAAATATCACTTTTGAGTATATGTCATGAACTTTGTCTACTACTGGATTGCTGTATAAATACTTCCCTTTTCTATACCTCAACTTCCTTTAATTCTCTAGTTACATTACCAATGAAAAATAAAGATTTGCTTTATGATCTTATTTACTTTTTACTCTTAAACACTTTTACTTTTGACTACACTCTGTCTTAGAAAGAGAAGTCCTCAGAAAGGAGTCTCTACATCTGAAAGTTTCCTCCGGGCATTTTGCTTTCACATCTCCTTCATTCTCTTGGAAGAAGTTTAGCATGTTCTGCAGCCTCTTCGTTATTTTCCTTGGTACATAGTTTCTTTGGAGCAGTATGGTGGCATTTGTGTTTCAGGGTATGTGAAGTGTCAAGATGCTGAAATTTGTTTGCACTGGCACTAGGTTTCATACCTTCCATGTTTAAGAGATTTTTGACAATATATTAGTGGGCATTTTTTTCCTCAGAGAAATTAAAAAGTTTGTCAATTCTCCTCAGTTTTGGGGGGCCCAAGTTACAAGACACAGTATTATCAGTCAATTCAGGAATATTTCTCTCCTTTCTTTTACAATAAGCAAGTTAAGAAATCTCAGATTGGTATCCGCATTGCAACCCCAAAATGATTTTTGCTTTTTTTTCCTTTTCAGTTCTCCCTGGTCTATGGCAGGAATGCCTCTTACTCAACAGGAGGCATACAAGATCACAGGTCAAAACACCCTGTTTATGCGGAAACCTTCTCTGTCATTCCCACCACTGATTCAGACCGTATAACCCTTGCAGTCTTCACCCAGACTGCAGCTTCAGTGACTGTATGTTTCTCATGCAAAGTACAAACTTTGCATTCATCGTTCATGTCAGTGAGTTTCCAGTAACCAGTAACTAGGAAGAAGCTATTCAGCTTCATCTTATTCACTTATGAGGCTCACAAAAAAACAGTAAAATTAGCCTCTTTTCAAATTGTGAGCTACTGAGAGCTGATCAGACTCTCGGATACCTGTAGAGACAATGTGAAATAAAGAAAGACAGAGAGATAAATGTCAGGGTACAAGGGGAATGGGGAGGAATTTGCCTCTAGTAAACTGGATTGGCTACTACCGTGATTGGCTTGCTTTTATTGGACAGCAAGAAGCACGGGTAACATGCACTTCATGGAACAGTAAGTATAGAAAATGGGTGAATAAAGGATTACGTTATTGAGGAACAAGATTTTCTCTAAAACCCAAATCCCTGTGTTTTAACAACTGTCCTCAGCAGATGCTGTCTTTCCTCAGGAGTGCTAGATTATTAGCATTCCACCCATAGCCAGGGGGCTCATGGCCTTTCTCATATCTCCCTAATCCTGAAGCAAGGTCACACTAACCTCAAGACTACAGGAGGGCTTAAGTCACGTAGTTGGGCCCCTCATAATCTGTCATATAACCTGATCCCCAACAGTGAGCTTTTCCTCAGCTGCCCACAAATTCAGTGTTACTGCATTTATAAATCACTAAAACTGTAGAATTTGTATGAGACCACTCAAGAGTAGGTACAAATAGAGAAGTTTGATCCTTTCATTATGGTAACTATGGTAACAGGAATTAGAAGAAACAACATATTTTCTGGTAAAACTAGCTCAGATATCAGTGCCACATGGGAATTGATTTCTCCACAGATCTCTGATGCCAGATTGGGCAGTAACTCTAAAATCCCTGTAACATACATGCATTACCAACTCAACAACAGCACCTTATTCTTGAATGTGTTTCACATCTAATAGAGAATCATGACTATATTTGCACAAAGCTATATACAATTTTCTTGAAATTCACTTGTGTTTACATAAAATGTTGAATATATTTTCTATTGATTTCAAGTTAAATATTGTCAAATTTGTTTGTTGTGATGGAAGAATTTTTTTTTATGTAATGATTTTATTTTCCAGTTCTAGACATGGTATGCATAAAGTTCCTCAATGAATATGCAAGGTCTATACATCTATCTGTATTCACAAGCATACACATATGAATATGTACTAAACAAACAAATACTAAGAACTTAACTTGCTTATATCACTGGTGCTTAGAATGAATTAATGATTTTATTTTTTAGTTCATGGAAGCTCCAGAAACCCCTTCTTTTTCTTTTTTCTCCTGCTATAGAAATTGTATCAGTATCAGCAAAGTATTTTCAATGTGCACAAACTATGTAGGTGTATGACTAATGTAGAAAGTGTACTAGGCAAGCACTGCCCTTCCCGGTAGTATGAATCTGACCTCCATCCTCTGCTACCCCTCTATAGCTCAGGAGCCCAGCATTCTGCAGTGACAGAGACTAAGTTAGGTTCAGACTGTTGCCAGGGAAACCATACCAAGATCAGTGGAGGTGGGGAAATGGAGAAGAGCTGAGAAAGCTCATAAGAACAAAATGTCCAATCCTCTGTAGTCAGGTTGTGCACATTCCAAATTTCAAACTACTTCTTAACGAATTATAGATAAAGTAGTTTGAAAACTCATTCTCCTGTGTTTTTTTGTAAAAAAAAGTTTTATTTATAATTTACATAAATATTTTATTATTACAAGTATAATTTAGCTAGTATTCTTTCAAACCTTTATATATATTTGTTGTTATTTGTTTCTTTTTGTGACAGTGTCTTGCTATATGGCTCAGTCTTGCCTCGAACTCACTATGTAGCCCAGGCTGGTCTCAAACTCATGGCAACCCTCCTGCATCAGCCTCTCAAGTTCTGGGATTACAGCATGCATGACTGCACCTGGAGAGACTGAATCTTATCTCCAGTTACAAGATAGCTTTCCTTTGGCATACATTTTAGTCTCTACATTAGTGTGTACTGTAAGAAAGTGAAAGAATGTTACACCTCAGATTAGCACAGTGATTGAAAAGACTCTTTAGTATTTGAGATTCAAATCTCACTTTTGCCTGTATATAATAATGAACTTTAAGTTAGTAAAATGTGTTTCAGAGGTCAAATTATCAAGTTTTCACTATAGGCTAGCATTCTGCTCATATGAGTCTACTGGAATCTTCTTCTCCCAAGGATATAGACTTTTTGACATTTGTGCCTCAAGAACAGTGGAGAAAAGCCATGTTGGGATGGATAAACTACACAAGTAACAACTGCAGATATCAACTTCAGGTCTGCAAAGAAGAACTGACCTTACTGAGGCTCTATGCCACACACTGGAAATACCTGATATGTTAAGAGGTGGGTTTTTTGGTGTTTGTTGATAGTGTCTTGTTTATGCATACAGGTGTGTGTGTGCGTGTTTGTGTGTGTGTGTGTGTGTGTTGGGAATGGTAAAGTGAGAAGATGATCTGCATAATATGAAAAGCTGAGACTTTTCTTTCATAAGAAAGTTAATATTTTGGAATTTCTGATTTTATCTGTCAAAGAAGTAGAGACGCTGGGGATATAGTTCAGTGGTACAAGTGCCTGCCTGGCAAGCACAAGGTCTTGACTTTGAGTCCTGGTACCAAAAGAAAAGTAGTGAACATCTGAAGAACAGGGCTGATGTAATTATCTTCTGATATTGAAAACATACAGGCTTTTTATTATTTTGTTTTTCTTTTCTCTTTAAAATAAAATTATAAAAATAAATAAATAAATAAATAAAAAGAAATCAGCATAGGAGGAGTGAGAGTAAAGAATTATTATTTCTTGGGGCTGGGGATTTAGCTCAGCGGCAAAAGCTCCTGCCTGGCAAGCGCAAGGTCATGAGTTCGGTTCCCGGTACCGGAGAAAAACAAAACAAAACAAAAAAAAAAGAATTATTATTTCTTGAGTTTTACTGAACAAGTGCCAAGAGCTTCATGTGTGTTACTCAAATTATTCCTCATAGCAATCTTATGAGTTAGAAATTAGTTCATCTTTCACATAAAAACAATTTTCAGTAAATCATTTTACTTGCATAACATCATGTAGCTATTAACTTCAGAGTGTGTTTTAGACCCAGATTTCTCTGGCTTCTACAACTAAACTTAGAAGTAAGTACCCAAGAGAAAATTATGACTATACTATTGCATTATCTTATGATATCTAATTCTTCTTCATTTCCAAAAATGTTTTTCATATAGTATATTCAGAAAATGCTGCAGCAACCCCAGTGTACACAATCCAAAGAAAGTAATAGAGAAGTAAGCATCCATTCTAACCAATAAAGTAAGCATCTTTCCAGTTCAGCTGTAGCTTAGTAGTAGAGTACATGCTTAGCATGCTCAATGTCCTGGGTTTGATACAAAGCTTAAATTAATCAATTGATTGATCGGTTAATCTGTGTTCTGACTTTTTTCTTTTTTCATCCTCTGATTTTTCCATATATTATATAAACATAAATCACGTTTTCCAGAGTAAGCATATTCTTTTTAAGAGTAGGAATGAAGTCATCAAATTCCAGTTGTGTTTAATTTTTACAGCTAAATGCATACATGCAAAGTTTATATTGACTGATGCTAGATCTGTTGCCAAAGTTTTAGGGCAAAAGGCCCAGCTCTGGAAGTCTCAAGAGAAAATCTTGGCCATTCTCCCTGAAACACCAATCAATGAGATGAGCAGCAGCAAAGGGCAAGAAAGCAGTTTAATCAGCATGGTCATATCAGGAGTGCATTAAAAGGTTCAAAATATACCTTCAAAGGGATAATAGAAGTCTTAGGTTTTTATAGAAAAGGGGAACAAAGGCAAAGGTAAGAGTTTTGCTAGCTGGCAGGGTAGGTAAATTCTGATCAAAGCATCATCTAGTAGATCATTATCAGGACTATTTTCTCTGGGCTTATGGACTAAGGGAAGAATCCAGTTCCGTGAGATGACTGCTTTTGCTTGGGAAGAGTACCTCATCATGTGGCGATTTGTGAGGCTCCACTTTTTCCTTAAATCTTTGGTGACTGCAGATTTAGGACAAGGACTATAGACTTCGAAGCACTGCTCCAGGGGATCTGCTGTAAAAGCCAGAAATTTATTGTCACTGAAAATTACTTTAGTTACTCTTTTTTCCCTTTTTTCCACCTCCTTCCATGTCAGATATACTCACCTTGATATCTTTGTTTAGTCTTGAAGGGGGAAATGATAGGCCAGGTAAATTAATGGCTAACAAACTTTGTACTAGTAGTTTATAGCCAGGCATTCCTTAAGTGATTAAAATGCTTATGTGCAGAGCTGAGCAAGGATTTTCTAAAGTTTTTCTAACTCTCCAGTTTACTTGTACATTTTACATATACATAATGACCACATTCATCATAGGGAATTTCTACCTGTGCATGATATAAATTAGTTCTTTTTCTCCCATTCCCCTATGTTCTCTTTAACCCCTCTACCCCTTCTTATTTACAAAAGATTTATCTGCATTTTTTACTTATTTTCTCATTTTTTCTTTTCATTCGTTCCTTCCCCCTCTCCTCCCTAGTTATCATTTTCATTTGAGCACTTTCTTCCTATTTATTAATATCTATTATACATTTGGCCCTTATTTACACTTTTAGTTTCTCACTTCAAAGAAATAATGTGATATTTATACATGCATGTTCTATTTATTCCACTTAAGAATGTGGTCTCTATGTGCATCTATTTAACTAGAAATGTAGCAAGTTTTCTGACTGAGTAGTACTCCATTATACCAAAAAAAAAAAACAAAAAAAAACAAAAAAAAACACATCTTCTTTATCCATTCATCAGTTGATGGGCATTTGAGCTGTTTCCAAGATTTAGCTATAATAACCTGTGCTGCTATAAACATGAATGCTCATACGTCACAAAAGGGGAATAGAAGGGTCAAATGAAACATCTAGTTTTAATTTTTGAGGAATCTCCACACTGCTTCCACAGTAGTTGCACAAGTCTGCACTCCCACCAACAGTGGAGAAGGGTTCCTTTTTCCCCACAGCCTCGCCAGCATTTGTTATTGGTTGATTTCATGATAATAGCCATTCTTTTTGGAGTGAGATGGAATCCCTGCATTATTTTAATTTGCATCTCTCAAATGACCAGTGATACTGAACATTTTTTCATACATTTAGTGTCTGTTCATATTTCTTCATCTGAGAAGTGTCTATTCATTTCAGATGCCCATTTTTGGATTGCTGACACAAAGTTTTAAAATATTCAAATAGACAAATACAAAAATGAAGGCAAAGACACCAAGCTTTATCTTGCTTTCAGTTACCTATTGGGCATCTTCAAGCCTACCCTTTAAGTCCCATTCTATATTCATGGTTGCAGTTCAAGACACTTTACCAGGCTAAGAAATTTAACCTTCTTTTGCTTTTTTTTAAACTTGGAACTGTAAGTAGATTCAAATAAAGTTTGAGTTGTAAATTTGTTTTTGTTAAATTGCAACAGTAAGGTTTAAAATTCCTAGCCAGGCGTGGTAGCACATGCCTGGAATCCCAGCACTCAGGAGGCTGAGGCAGGAGGACCTTTGTGAGTTTGAGATCAACCTGGGCTACAAAGTGAGCTCAAGGACAGCCTGAACTGCATAGCAATACCCTGTCTCAATAAAACAAAAAAAAGATTTAAAATTCCTTTATCATATTTGTTAACTTTTGGTCACATTCTTAATATTTTTCATAATCCATGAAGTATACCAAAATTATATGCAATTGTGATATATGAGCAAGAGCTTTTGATATGAAGCCAGACAATTTCTTGTTTGTAATCACAATTCTGCCTCATTTTTACTAACTGTAAATCTATGTAATGAATTTACTCTCTTGAAGACTCAGTTTTTTCTTTACTGTAAAATAATCTTTACCTCATATAGTGGTTGTGAGGATAATCTGAAATAATAAATGTTAAAGTCCTTTGTAGACAATAAATTTTTATAATAATGTGAGAAGACTAGAAATAAAATGAGCACTAAAGGAATATGGTGATGCTTTGGTTCATGAACTTAACTCAGTCCATGATTCTGGGGAAGATGGCCATGTTTGTCACCAGATGCAGAGTTTGTAAATAGGAGCAGAATTTTTCCAAATGTTTCTGTTTGCAAACTGAACTGTTACTGAACAGAAGCATCCGTGAATCAAGGTATTACTGTGCCTACAGTGTGCTGGTCACTGTGCAAGGACAGAGGGCTCCATATATAAATGATAGCACAAAGGCCTCACTGGTCTTTGTTAAGAGCAATAACTAATCTTACTACAAGCAGTTTCTGCCCCCAACATGAAAAGCAGTTTCTTCATTTACAAGTAGACTCTCCAATGAGGGCAATTAAAAAGAGAACGGAGGGAGAGAGGGAGGGAGAGACAGAGACAGAGACAGACAGATAGAGAAGCTAGACTGAGAGAGATACCAGGCAACACAATTACCATTTTTCTTTGTAAAACTAAAAGAGAAAAGAACAAAAAATATATGTATATACAGTGATAGCTGGGATAAGTGTTTGGCTGATGTTTATTGGTTCATTGAAAGCAACAGTTAATGCTTAAAATTTTTTCTTGACCAATTTTGCATGCTCATATCTGATAATTGGAGCAACTAATTTGAATACAACAATATGCAATATAATAAGCATTGTTGAATTCCTACCATCTTGTTTAATGAAGCTCTGTTTCATTTCTAATTTTTTTTATTACTTGTTATTGCTTTAATTGTTTCATCAATCTTGCATTCTTACATCTGGTAATCTGAGCAACTTCACTGAAGATAACAATATGTGATATAACCATTGTTAATTCCTATCATCTTGTTTTGAAATTCTGTGTCACTTTTATTGTTTTTGTATTGTTTTGTTTTTGTCTTCATTGTTGTTATTTTTTTCTCTTTAAAATAAAAAAGAACTTTTTATGTTTAATTCCCAACCAGTCTTTTATTTTAAAGAGAAAAAAACAATAAAACCAATGATACAAAATTTCAAAACAAGATAATAGGAGAGTAACAATGATTAATACATTGTGTATTATTATCTTCAAAGTAGGCATGAAAAATTGATCAGACAATATAAACACTAACTGTTCCTTTCAGTGAACTAAAAATTAGAGTATAACTATCTTAACTATTATATATATATATATATATTTATTTATTTTTCCTTTTTCCTTCCTTCTTCTCTCTCCATGCGTTTCTCTTTCTTTTTGAAATGTTTCTTCCCATTTTACAATATTTACTGTAAATTTTAGATCTTATTTACTATTTTCATTTCTTAAACTAGGAAGACAATATAATGTTTACACGTGCATCTGATTTATTTCATTTATGAGTATGGTCTCAAGTTGCAT